GCGTTCCTTCGCTCGCTACGGATTTTCGCACGAATCGACGGAGTGGGGGGTCTTCGCCAGCGAAGCTTCGCTGCATGAAATTGTACCTTTATTCGTTAACTTCAACAAACTCTCTTGCAAAAACTATTTGTCGGACGCAATTTTGCTAAAGGAAAAAGTTGTTTGTTTTAGCATAGAGTATCATGTCCTGTACTCCAAATGCGTGAATTACGGATCACCCTGTATATAAGTTATATGTAAGTTTGGATATTGTTGCTCATTCAGATAAGTTTGACTTTGTTATTAATGTTAATTTAATTGGAGTTAATATAATGAGTGACTTTGCTGACATCGTAATAGGGTAAGACATTAAATATAAGAGATATAGTAGCCAATAAAATAATTCGTAGAGCATCTAAAGATAAATTAAGAAAGCCTTAAATATAAGGTCTGACTATGATTACAGGCATATATCTTTTATATTTATATACCTTAAAACTTTGTTTCCATGTTTATGCATGATCGTGTTTTCATGCACGCATGTTTATGCATGATCGTGTTTTCATGCACGTTTAATTGATGGAACGCATGAAGACACGCGTTTGACGTACGCACAACGAACGAAAACGCGTGCATAGAAACCAAGAGTAAGAATAATATTTAATACTAACAATCTTGAAATCCTGTTTGAGATGCTGATCTTAAAATCTGATGTGAATTATTCGCCCCAACTTCCATCGGAGATCCACTCATGGTCGATGATATAGCCTCACTTTGTAACTCCAAATGTGACTGCATTGGAACAGCTTGGTAATGATGTTGCTGTATTAGAACTCCTGTAGGCCCTATGTATACATTACACATATATGTATACATAATTATATTAATATAACTTTAATAGCTTTCATATAACACACATTTATATAGTATACATATACAGGGTACTTAAAAAGTCCGAAAACTGTCAAATATTTCAAAAATGAAGCATTTTCAAGAAAAATACTTCGGACAAAAGTTGTAAGGTTTTGAAATGATGTATTTACTAATCTGATCAGTTTGACCTTGGGTGGCATCACCAAAATCAGGTCAAGGTCACGTTAATTTTTTTAAACAGAACACCCTATTTTTATTCCAGAATGTAATAACCAGTATCAAGAGCTTTTCAAAACACTGTAATAAAGTTATTTTTCATTAAGTACTTTTCGAGTTATAAGGCTTGAAAGTTACAGTACCGCCGGCATTAACATTACACAAAATGTCCGACCGACGCAATGGCTAAAACCTCTTAAATGTTGTTCAGGATCATGTCCTAGATAACATTTATTAAGATCATGGTCATTGGAGACTGTTTCTCTTATTTTCATTTTTGCACTAAAACGGACCCCGCACAAAATCATAGGATTTTGGTCCTCGGTGAAATTGGCTGAAATTTTAGTATGTTATAGTTCTTGACTCACTGATCAAAAGTGTCCATAGGCACAAATCCCGAAAATGATTAGTTTTTTTGTTGTAGCCATTTAAAGTTTTATTTTACTAATGCCTCAAAATCAGGTTTCTATAATAAATCAAGAGATTTTAAATAACAATATGCCAACCACTCTACTCTCTCTACCTTCACTCCCAATCTCATCTCCACTCCACTCCCACTCAACCCCCATTCCCACACACATACGCCCGCGCATTTTTATAAAAAAGTGCATAAAAATCGAAGTTTCATATATGTGTGCGTGCGCGCGCGCACATGTGTTTGTGTATGTATCAATGGTACATTTATGATTTTAGTTTTTCGTCCGTTCTCAGAATTATTCGGAATGAACGACGTGGACGTGACAGGCGTTTCATTCCTTTGCGTTACTTGATTTTCGTGAGTCCCCTTGCCGCATATGAATGTAAGCAAAGCAAAGAGGAAAAGAATTTTCTATCCTATGTTGCTATCGCACCTTAGAGAGCACCCGATATTTTTTTGTATATGAAGCTTCACATGCCGAAATAAACATTCGGGATAATCAAGTACTTCGCACATGAAAGGTAAATGGACTCACACATTTCAAATAATACGCGTGAGAGAAATTGTAAAAATCTAGCAAAATCTAAGTATATAGTAAAAATGCGCGCGCGAGTGTATGTGTATGGGAATAGAGGTGGGGATGAAGTGGGAGTGGGGGTGGGGTTGGGAGTGAGAGTGGTGAGAGTGGATGGCATATTGTTATCTAAAATATCTTGATTTATTACAAAAACTTGCTTTTGAGGCATTAATAAAATAAAACTTTAAACGGCTATAACAAAACAACTAGTCATTTTCAAGCTTTGTGCCTATGGACACTTTTGATCAGTGAATTAAGAACTATAACATACTAAAATTTCAGCCAATTTCACCGAGGGCCAAAATCCTATGATTTTGTGCGGGGTAAAAATTTGTTTTTTTTAATATTTTGTTTTTGCAAATATGTAAACACAAATGTAAGTATAGTAGTGATACGTTCTGTTTGTAACTTTTGTTCAAATTGATGAAATCCAATAATTAAAAAAGGAAAATAAAGTTCAAAGTAATATTTAAAAAATATATATATATATATAT